GAACCCGTTCGTCAACTGCAGAAAACGGGAAAGATGCACCCTGGCCTCCTCATCCTTCAAGCCATGGAACTGGATAGAAGATGTAATGAGCTGAATCCAGCATGGCTTGATCTCGAAGTTATTTGCTGGAATGGGTGGATAGAGGATGACCGGGCGGATGTCAGCAATCCGTGGAGTGTAGTAGTACTCCAAGGTGGGACCCGGCGGCGGTGGATGATGATGACCTCTGTGATCCTGGGGTATGGGGTTATTCCCCAGGACCTGATTCATTGGGGGAACCTGCTGCGGATTCCCCTGGTGCTGATTGTAGTCTCCATCCATCCCGTACTCAGGTGGCCGTCTATGTGCTCTTCCGTAGCCAGTCTAGCTCGCTGTTGTCTCCTGAGCTGGCGACAGGTGTGGTCAATCTCTGGATTCAATGGCAGTAAACCTCCTAACTGGCTACGGGTCATGCACTACCTGCACACACACTCAAGCAAGCAAACCCGTGAAGGCACAAGTGGGACAAAGCAACCAAAGCAAAAAGAAAAGCTAAATTAACAGAAATCACTTTTCTTCAACAACCTAGCCGTCCCCGGCAACGGCGCCAAAAACTTGACTCACTTCTACTGTCACCCTAGGAATTGGCCAAGTGAAACCACTTCCTAAAGCGTAGTATAGCGGGTTTGGGTTTAATTATCAACCCGGGTCCTAGATTTGACGACTACTCAGTGAATTCTTGTTATCTAGCAATGAAACTTTAGTGCAAGTCTAAACTAACAAACTAACAAAGCAAGTAAACGGTTGTATTCAGGTTAAGAGAGGTCACCCGGATATGGTTCCCCCTAGACTGCACTTAAGCTGGATTGTAATTACCAAGTTCAGTTTCTATGATAGTTATACTGCGGAAGGTTCTCAAACAGCCTGAAGTCTCGACTAAAGGTCTTCAGACCCTCTCAATCTGAATCTCTAGCGGGCGACTAACCTCCACCGGAGTAAACAGATTGAGGCCTTAACAAACAAAACCTCCACTACCGGAGTGAATCCGGTACAGAATAGTGAGTTGGCTCCTCGACTAAAGTCACCAACTCCCTACCTACAATCAAGAATGCTCTATCAACCTAGGCAGATTTCTAGGTCAAAGCAGAAACAACAGGAATTTGATCAGGATTCAAGTCATTCAATCATTCAAACCTCAATCGAATATAATCAACTCATAGAATCAGTACTTGGTTTCATACAATCAAACCTAACATACAAATCTAGGGTTCTCCATACCCAGATGAATGGAAGAACTACTCCATGGAGAAAGAAGCAAAAGCAGAATCAGACGCGGAATTCATACTGTGAAGGATGGATTCCTGCTCCTCGACGTTGATTGGCACTTCTCCAAGCTCAAACTGGCCTCCAATGGTGTTGAAGATCAAGCTAGAGCACTTGGAGACTCTTGTTCGTCGCTTTCTCTCTCTAGGAACTGATCTCTCTCTCCAAAACTCGAATCCCCTTCTCTTTGGCTGAAAATCTGCTTAAAAGGGCATCAGTGGCCAAAGCACGGTTGAGGGCACGGCCGTGTAATGCCTCAGCCCGCCCGTGCTTTGGCTAGGGTTAATTACACGGCATGTGTTGGGAGAAACACGGCCGTGCTTTAGGGAGGACAAGGCCGTCCTTTGGTGGAACACGGCCGTGCTTTCAGCCCGTGTTTGCAACCTAAATTTGCCAAACTCAATTAGCTCTCGGCAGTAAAAGCACGGCCACAGAACACGGCCGTGTAATGGTTTAGGTGTGCCCGTGTTTTGGCTCCACCTTGACGAAATGACTTACGAATGCCCCGAAACTCGTGCTTAGCCTTTCCTTTGACACCTGGGACCTGAAACATGACAAAATAGCACAACCCGACGTAAAATAGTCCAAAAATACACGACTATGCCCCTCAAACGGATAAGAAATAGGGGTGCAAATACGTGCAATTACATCGTTATCACAAAGCTTGACTTAAATACTTGACTGATACTGGGATCCCTCACTAGCTAGTCCGGTTGCCCAACTCATTCGTATGAGAAGCCATCTAGGCTTTCCTTAAACTTAAACTTAGTTAGGGAAGTCGTAACGATTCATCCCCCTAACATCTTAAACTTATCGTGGTGGCTCTTCACCACGATTCTTAAGGACATAACTGCTGCCCATCTTAAAAGTCTCAAGAGCATAACTGGTGCTCTATCTCAAACTATCTCAAACTATCTAAAATGACTTCACCTTCTTGAAGGTGAGTTACTTCTTAAAAAGAACTTGTTTCTTAACTTTAACAATAACTTATAAACGGAAAGCTTTAAATTAACTAAGAACTCATGCACATTCACATCAAACATAGCTCAAACAAACTCACATATCATCAACAATAATCATGCAATCTCAAAGGCAAGTATAACACATAGCAGTCAACCTCAAAACTAAAATACCGTAAGGCGTAGAATTTACCCCCTTTACACTCACCTTGACTTCAAGTTGATTGACTTGAATCAATATTGACTTACGTAAACAACTGCTCTCGCAACGCCGAGCATCGTCATCATGAACCTTGTGCACTCTAAAACCTCGATTTCCTTCTTATGCTTTCACCTTCCCCTAAGAATGGATAGGTTCAGTTCACTTGATTATATAAGTGTGGAATCGCCTTACAATAACCTATCATTAGCTTCCAATTTGTTCTTCCCATCATTATGAAGCTTGCCCCACGTGAATTCGTGCATGGAAAAGAAACACCACCAACAAAGGAAACCGAGAATGACTTGGAACCTCCCTTCCCATTGAAGTTCCACAACCGTCCATTCTCCACCGATGCCAAATTAATTCTTTGTTTGCCCTTGCACATCCCAAGAGTTCAATCCATACTTCTAACTCCCAACCATTTTCATAATCATGTCTTATACCTTTCTGCTCAAACGAACTAATGATGAAGGAAGCTGTATCATTGTTTTGCATTTCACTTCACCAACCACCGAAGCATCTTCGAACGTACCCTGTCTTGTCCGGTATGGCAGACCCAATTCCACCTTTGCTCGCCCTTTCCTTCTCCTCCATCTCCTTCATAATCGCCTTCACACCTTCAGCTTCGTCAAACCTCCCGGAGAGCTCGCCTTCAATAATATATTTCTCCCTGCAAGTCGTGCTCAGCCGCTCCCTCCCGGGCTCGAGATCGCCGTTCAACTTCTCGATTACCTCCTTCAGCGACTCGATCTTACCTTCCGGCTCAAGGTTCTCTCTTTAATGACTCGACGTCGACTTCCCTTTCCTTGAGAGCCGCGAACGCGATGCTCCGTTTGATCTCCGAGCAAGCTCTCTTGTCACTACCGACGACGAAGTCCGCGCCGTGCTTCTCCAACTCGGATTCCAAGCTTTTCTTCTCCCGCTCCAAGGCCTCCACCTGCCTCCTCTTGTCCGCCACGGTGTCGATCAGCCGCTTGTTCAGCGCCTTCAGCTTCTCATTTTAGTAGACAATGGCTCGATGCAGAGAGAGGGAGGAGATGTGGATTGATTTGTGGTCTGTGAAAGAGGAAGACCGAGTGATAGACCGTTAATTGCACATGTTTTTACCCCTATTCTTGAGCCGTTGGAGATGTCGATTCTCGTGTTTTAGGGCGATTTCACGCTATGTTGTGCTTGTTTGTGATATTTCAGGTCCTAGTACGTGAATGAAGGTTTGGGAACGAGTTCGGGGTCGATTGGACGAAGTTTGGACGTTTGGCGAGAAGCTGAGAAGCCACACGGGCATGCCTAAAAGCCACACGCCCGTGTAGGGGGACCCCTTGTGGCCGTGTGGAAATTCCAGGGAACTTACACGGGCACCCTAGAAGTCTACACGGCCGTGTGGGTCGTGGCCGTGTAGGAAGCCTGAAGTCACTTAACGAAACGCTGCGTTTTGCAAACTCACACGGGCAGCCTGGGAGAGTCACACGGCCATGTGGCCTGGCCGTGTGAGTCGGGAATTTCTGGTTTTAAGCCAAATTCGTGCCAAAGGAGAGAGAGAGCTGGGTTTTGGTTCCCAAACACCCAAGGGACGAACCCTAGAGAGAGAGAGAGAGCGACTTGGGAACATTCTTGGAGCTATTTTGGAGGATTTCTTCGCCAATGGAGCTCGGGAATCAAGCTTGGAGATGGAGATTGAAGATCTAGATCAGATTTCTGCAGTCTCTCTCTTCTCTATGGAGTAACTTCCCTTCACTTAGGTTTTGAGGAACCCTAGTTCCATGTGTTAGGATCTTTCTTGTATGAAGTTTTGGATGTTATATTGTTTGATTATAATCGATTGAGGCATGACTTATTGAGTCAATTGAATCTTGATCAAATTCTCTTGATTTCTGCTTTAACCTATGATAGATAGAATCTGAATAGGTTAAGAGAGCTTGCTTGATTAATAGTGGTGAATTGGTTGTGCGAGAGTCATTCAATTCACTGCTTTGTAATGGAATTCATTCCAGTAGTGGAGATCTGTGTGAATCGCCGTAGTAGTCTATCCCAGTGAAGGCTAGTCGCCTGCCGGGTATTTGGTCTAAGAGGGCTTGGTCAGCTTAAGAGATTCCAAGCTAATTTAGGATCTTCCGCAGTTTAATCAACAGTAGATCAACCAAAGGTAATTGCAACTTGGACCTAATTGAGGAGCTAGGGGGAATCATACCTAAGTGAGTTCCCAACTTGTAATTAGTAGAGTAGTTAGTAGAGTAGTTTAGTAAATCAATCCTTAATCTAGTTTGCTAGATAATGAACTGAAGTTGAGTAATAGTAACTCTAGAGACCCGTGGATTCGATGTTTATTACTTGTGCCACTATACTGCAGTCCCTTTCATTGGTTACACTTGGCCATTGTTAGGTGTTGTGTCATAGCGTATCAAGTTTTTGGCGCCGTTGCCGGGGAATTTCTAGATTATTAGGAAAGGCATAAGTTTGTTACTTTAGCATTTTTCTTTTCTTTTCCACCCTTGCTTTTCACTTGGGTGTTTTTGTTTTTGTTGGTGCAGATCTGAATCATGGATCCTCCTGGCTTCTCTAACCATTGGGGGTATCCACCACCGTCCGAGTGGTATTACCCCGAGACCCCCTGGAGAAATCAAGGAGGAGAAGACTATGGATTCGGGTTCCAGTACCAACCCCCTTACTACGGTGAACAATCAGACCCCTGGGCATATCAAGAACAACCTCCTTATCAAGAAGACTTTCCTCCACAACCAGAAGGGCCATTGGAGCTGGAGTTACCCATGGCGGCCTTCACGGGCCACTCTGCAGAGCCATGCTACACTTCACTAGAAGATCCGAACAAACAATTAAGGCTTCTCGTGGAGCAGTTAGCTCGAGACATTGAGGGATCATGCTCCAAGATGGATCTTCAAATCCAAGCCCTTGACCCTTCCGATCCCTCATTTCTCCATGAAATGGAGGAGACTGTTCAGTGCTCAGCGAAGCAAACAGAGTGGGTGGCGAAAGTTTGCTCACATCCTGCTCAAGATCACCTTTCTGCTACCACGCAAGAAGAGGTGGAGAATGACAAAGGCTACAGAGACGTTGAGTAGCATACAAAAGTTATCACAGAGAACTCCCATGATAATCATGATCAGGAAAGTCCTCTGGTTGCATATCACACCTTTCCTCGTTTCTGCTCTAACATGCTGGGCCCGAGCGAGGAGATGCAAGATGATCTCATTTAAGAAATTACATGGCGACTTGTTCTCCAATCTGTTCTAGAAGAAGAAGAGAGAGTAAGGGTGAGGGAAGAAGTTGTAGAGGACGAGGATGAAAGCAAAGAAGAGGAAGTTCTTGATCATTTCCCAGGGGTGATACCACATGAACAAGGAAGGGAGGTTGAAGAAGCAATTGGCGTCCAGGCCGAGGACGAAGCTGAGGTGGAAGAGGCCTGTACCGGCCATGAGTTGCAAGTAATATCCCCACCAAACTTCGAGGAATTGCTTAACAATGACCCATTTGCAGTGTCTCTTTGCCAGACCAAGGCCACATCGATATCGGTTCCTCTTGGTGGACGCGATGGTGGTCAATCAATGCTGTCATATCTAGTTTGGGGCAATGAGACGAGAGAAGAGAAGAAGAGGTCCCGAGGGTGGAGACGTTATCTGCATCAAGTGCACGAGCTTCCATCACCTGTCATACCACATGCTTGTGACTTGAGACTCCACCTCATCGACGAGAACCTCAACTTCAAGGAGGTCTTGGGGTGGACCGAAACTTAGGAGCCATCGTCCGGCTCACGACGTGAATGAAGCGCTTGTTGGGAGGCAACCCAACTAGTCGGCTTGCATTTCTTTCTCTATTTCTCCTCGGTTGAGTCAGTTTTGTTATTTGATTTTAGATTTAATAACTCAACCTTTGTGAGATTTTATGTGGTGTTTGTGTTCCGACTACTCTCTCCTCCTGGAATGCACCGCCTGCCTCGTCCACCATCATTCACCCTTGATCTGGTAACTTCGTTCTACCCTCCTTATCTTTCCTCCATTGAGGACAATGTCGTGCTTAAGTGTGGGGGGATGTTTGATTATGTATGCGGGCGAATGTTTGGCTGTTTGTGTGCTTGGAGCCTAGTCCACTGTCCAAATTTTTAAATTTGAGGGCTCCAAGTACGTGTTTCTTTGCAAATTGCCTGCTCAGTATGCTTTGAATTGACAGTCTTTATGGTGATATGCAACCTGGGGAGATAGTTGTAGCACTATGGAGGATGTTGAAGTATAAGATTTTTCCTATCAGTCTCTCTGATGTGCCGGTTGATATTGTGAACTAGTGGATTTAGGACCGTTGATTCATGTGGTATTGATGATTCCTCTTATGTTGTGTTGTGGGCTCGTGTATCAGAAAAGGGTGCTCAAGTGTGAAATGAAAAAAGCAGTTTGGTCCTCCATGTAAAAAATTTCAAATTCTAAGACATGGGGTAAGCCCAACGTGTGTGGCACCGTTCATTGCACAAAATCGGGTTTTGGAAGAGATTTTAGTGATCCTTGATGGGGTAGGCCTACAAGGTGAAGCTAAGTTGTCTCTAGTACAAGTAATATTTCCACCCGTTGAACGGTTTGCCTACTTGAGGATGTGTTTTTAAGGGCACGGATAGAGCTTCCGACCCCCCTTAATTTCATTGACCCTCCGCACGAGTTGAGAAAAAGGAGTTAAAAGAAGTACTCTAGCGAACGCCAGACGTACAGAAATTGCTATTGCTCGACTAATAAGGGTCGACCGTGCAAAAGACTGCAGTTGGAACTCCCGCCAAGTGAATGAAAAGAAAAAAAAAGAGTAAAATGAAAGTGAAAAAGGGGTTCCAACGGTGAAATGAAGTGAAAGAGCACCCCGGTACAACGAGTCCTTGGTTGTGGAATTGTGTGTGTCTCTTTATCCATGAATTAACTGTCTTAGTTCCACTGCTTCTCATGATCCTGGCTTGAGTCTAGTACTCGCATTGAGAGAGACAGGAGGCGTCTTAGAAGACCAGTTGACCTCGTAAGTTGCTAAATGATCTAGAAAATCCTCTGCCAACGATCGGGGTTGCATGTTGCTATAGAAGTCTGGAGAGTTGCATTGGTTTGAGTCAGGTATGCTTAGGGACAAGCAAACGGTTAAGTGTGGGGGAGTATGATAGACCGTTAATTGCACATGTTTTTACCCCGATTCTTGAGCCGTTTGAGATGTCGATTCTCGCATTTTAGGCCGATTTCACGCTAGGTTGTGCTTGTTTGTGATATTTCAGGTCCTAGTACGTGAATGAAGGTTTGGGAACGAGTTCGGGGTCGATTGGACGAAGTTTGGACGTTTGGCGAGAAGCTGAGAAGCCACACGGGCATGCCTAAAAGCCACACGGCCGTGTAGGGGACCCCTTGCGGCCGTGTTGAAATTCCAGGGAACTCACACGGGCACCCTGGAAGTCCACACGGCCGTGTGGGTCGTGGCCGTGTAGGAAGCCTGAAGTCACTTAACGAAACGCTGCGTTTTGCAAACTCACACTGGCAGCCTGGGAGAGTCACACGGCCGTGTGATTCGGGAATTTCTGGTTTTAAGCCAAATTCGTGCCAAAGGAGAGAGAGAGCTGGGTTTTGGTTCCCAAACACCCAAGCGACGAACCCTAGAGAGAGAGAGAGAGCGACTTGGGAACATTCTTGGAGCTATTTTGGAGGATTTCTTCGCCAATGGAGCTCGGGAATCAAGCTTGGAGATGGAGATTGAAGATCTAGATCAGATTTCTGCAGTCTCTCTCTTCTCTATGGAGTAACTTCCCTTCACTTAGGTTTTGAGGAACCTGACTTATTGAGTCAATTGAATCTTGACCAAATTCTCTTGATTTTTGCTTTAACCTATGATAGATAGAATCTGATTAGGTTAAGAGAGCTTCCTTGATTGATAGTGGTGAATTGGTTGTGCGAGAGTCAATCAATTCACTGCTTTGTACTGGAATTGGTTTTGAGATAGTGGAGATCTGTGTGAATCGCCTTAGCAGTCTATCCCGGTGAAGGCTAGTCGCCTGCCTGGTATTCGGTCTAAGAGGGCTTGGTCAGCTTAAGAGATTCCAAGCTAATTTAGGATCTTCCGCAGTTTAATCAACGGTAGAACAACTAAAGATAATTGCAACTTGGACCTAATTGAGGAGCTAGGGGGAATCATACCTAAGTGAGTTCCCAACTTGTAATTAGTAGAGTAGTTAGTAGAGTAGTTTAGTAAATCAATCCTTAATCTAGTTTGCTAGATAATGAACTGAAGCTGAGTAATAGTAACTCTAGAGACCCGTGGATTCGATATTTATTACTCGTGCCACTATACTGCAGTCCCTTTCATTGGTTGCACTTGGCCATTGTTAGGTGTTGTGTCATAGCGTGTCACCGAGCGGTGGGATTTTTGATTTCCTTTTTCCCAATTGGTGGCGTTGCTCGGTGTAAGCTGCTAGGGCTTTTTTTCCAATAATAGTAATAATAGTTGTTATTATTATTATTATTATTATTATATTATTATTATTATTATTATTATTATTATTATTCCTAATCCCCGGTTGCAACTCTTCGTACATACTCGTTAAACCAACCGTTCGCGTATTATGGTCGAACCGAAACCCAAAGGTCGGGGTGTTACATTTATTAATGAGGTGGATACTGATAGGGCAAATTTCACGAAATTTTGTACGAAGACTAATAGAAGTGACCCTTTCGTACAAGTTGAAATTTTTGATACCGTTTACAAATTATAGGTTTGTGATCATTTATGATAACTACCCTGGTTTTTTGAACAATCGCCACCGTCATCTTCTCCAAAATGTCACCGCAAAGCATTGATGTGAAGCTCACAACAAAAGCAACAATAGCTATAAAAAAAAGGCAGTTAAAATGCTCGCATTGGTAGAAGTAGCCATCTCTTCGTCGTCCTCCTAAAACTTAGAAGATGAGAAAATGGATTTATGGATCTAATGCGCCAATGAAGATAAGGACCCACAAGTCATACATAAAAAAACTTACACAAAACACCACCCACAAAGGAAAAAAAAGAGCCCACAAAGAGAACCCAAACCCAACAGAAGAACTCATATATACAACACAAAAGCAACATGCAAAACAATCCGTCACTATTGAATATACAGACAATCGTGTTGTTTCTGCTCACACATGTTGCTCCTGACATCATCTCCATATCTCTAGACAACTACAACAGCTGCCCATGTTGCATTCCAAATAGCAGCTCCATACAACCATGTTGCTCATTATCTTATTACTAGGTCCATGTCTTTCCTGCTTTCCTATTCGTTCTTTCTTTTGTATAAGTAGAATATGAAACCTTATGTATTATTTAGATCAATAACACAACGAATTCCTTTTAGCGAAATCATCATGGTATCAGAGCTGAAATCTGAATCGAGTGAGGAAAAGCCCAAGAAAAAGAAAAGGAAGAAATAATTAGTTGATAGAGTTCCGAAAAATTAATTTCTTTCTTTCTTCTTCATTTAATTCATTTCTTTCCAACTCCTCACTATCACAAGAATCCAATTCACAAAAGAAAACACAAAGCAAAACTAGGAAGCGAGAGCGATCCGTTACACACCTCATTTTTTTCTTTCACATAAATCTGCTTTGTGCATTTTTTTTGTCGCCGCTACATCTCAACCATCAGAGGAGACGGTGACATTTTTTTTTTTTTTGGAGGGGGGGGGGGGGGGGGGGGGGGGGAACAAATCTAGTTTTTTGGTTAAAATCAGATGACACCATAACTGGAAACTTTAGGCCCGGTTTAAATCGAATGCAACCCAATCGAGTTTCCAGTTGACATATTTTCACAAAAGCGGGACCGAGATCGTATCAATCCGGTCCCGTTTAACTAGATTGGACCGAATAGCCACCCCTAGAAATTAGGATCCTAAGATCCTCTTCCATGCCCCTAACTGTCAAAAGTAGTCATTAAACTTCATACATACTCTCTCATCCATACATTTGGCTTCGATGTAGTTGGTACTAAGGAAAAGGGGCCAAACTCATGTCTCGATCTAAATCTATCTATTATCGAATCTTGTCATCTAATAAGCCTGAAAGTTGGTTCCCCACAGCCACCCAAGCATAATGTGTGGGGCACATATCCTCAGGTAGGTTCATTCCTACTGATATCATCTTATCGACTCCAAAGTTGTAAGTTGATTATGTAAAGATGTGGCCATAGGCCCCTAATGTGTCATAGAGAGCGAATCCATACCTCTCACGATGGTTGTTGATAAAGTTGGCTATGGTGTAATTATAGCCGCCTCCAAGAAGCTCTGGATGTGTACCATGATAAGAGAATGTGTTGAGGTAACCAATGATGATCCATATTGGGTGAAGCCACCAATCGTTGACAATTGCATGGTAGAGCAACATGTCACTAGAAGTTACCTTCCCTTCATTGCCTCATATCAAAACTGGTTCAACCAAAGTAAGGTACAAACCTCATCAAAGAGAAGCGAATGTCGGTGGGACGAGCGTATCCTGCTGAGAATTCAATCTCTCTGAAGTTGTTTCCATAAAATGGAGAAATGACAAGCCTCTGCATTCTGGCTCTATCCTCTTATAAGGTAGGTCTTGAAAGGAGCTCTCTTGGTTGGATGTTGTGCAGGTATCCCTAGCTTCTCTTAGAAGTCATCATAATTGTCTTTTAAATATCTTCCTACCAGTTGGTAGGTAATACTAATCTGGCTCGAACTCCTAACTGGTGACACCTCCTACGTCTCAAAGAACTCCCATGTCAGCACATCAACAATATCTGCTATGATGCAAAAGAAATCTACCAATTAATGACCAAATCGGAATTTTGATCGTAAAATCGTAGGATTTTAGGATTTTACTTAGGGATTCAGATCTTGATTTTACTATAAAATTGGTGGACCTTAAAATCATTTATAATCGGGATTAAAATCATTAAAATCGTAAAATCGTACCAAAATCGGGATTAAAATCGTATGAGAACAAAATAGGTTGTTTGAGCGAATTTTAAAAAGTCGGAACTGCTTTGGCGGAAAGGGAAATGATAGGGATCTTCTCAAATATTTCTCCTATTAAAAAACATTTGAAAAGAAAAAAAAAGGGTAAAAACAATTTAATAGCCAAACCTTTCACCCTAAAACAAAATAATAGCCAAACCTTTTCGAAAACATTTTATTAGCCAAATCGTCAACTCTCCGTCTGGTCAGCCGTCAGTTGACTCCGACGTGGAAAGAAACTGTACACGTGGCACATTTTTTCTGTTGTGGCACCTAGTTAAAATGAAATAAGAAAAGGGGAAAATCAGAAGCACTATCTAATCACTCCATCTCTCTTCACTCTCTTCCACCCAATCTCCCCGTTCGATTTTCTCCCTCAAAGAAGAAGCCATCGACGACTCCGGCGAACCCAAACCCATCGCCCACCACAGAACCAAAATCAACGGCGCCGGCTTCGTCCCTCGTCATGTGAAAGCCGGAAAAGGCTAGCGTTGCTCCCGGCCGTGCATTCCCAGGCCGGGGATTTTGGCGAACGAAGCGTCGGAGCGCTGGCGAGGAGACAACGGAGCGAGACGACGGAGCTCTGAAGGAGACGACGGATTTAGGTACCCATTCCCTTATTTTGCTTTCAAACCTAGGTTCTTTATCCCCATTCGATTGAAATTGCCCTCTTTTATAATAGTGCGATTTTGGCAGAATCTGGTTTGTGAGGACCACAGCGGGACCACTGAAGAAATAGTCACGAAATTGCCCCTGCATTACAAGGTATGAAAGCAGAAGCATAGGATTGAACTGTAATTGTGAATGCGAATGAACAGTCATCTTCCCGGGAAAGTCACGCATAGCTTTTTGCTTCTTCTTCGCAGATGATGGAGTATTTGGATATTCTATACCATCATGGTGGGGTTATGGATTTCTCGAGATCGGTACCACGATATGTTGGCGGTTTTTCGGAGAAGATAGCGATGGATGTTGATGAAGTGTGCTACTTCGAGCTTTTGAATGTGGCTACAAGTTACTTGAAGTATGTTGCCGTTCGAAAGATATGGTACTTAACACCGGGGGCTACAATGGCGGATGGTCTACATGAACTGCATTCCGATAAGGATGTGATGGAAGGGTTGCTAGTCGATGCAGCCGGTACTAAGGATGTGTCAATTTTTGTAGAGGCCGTCGAGGTGGAGGATGGACTGGTGGGAGACAATGAGGAACCAGACTTGTTTCAAGGTTTGCCAAAGGATGCTGAAGATATTGGTGAGGGCTCGGTTGCGAGGAAAGTGATCCATGTTGCCGACTCTGATGATTCTCTTATGTCAGAGCCAAATAATTCAGCCCCCCATCCCATGTCAGATTCTGATTCAGGGGATGAAGTTGAGCAGCCTCGTGGTGTTGAAGATGATTACCTCAACGTGGAAGAAGGATCAGCTGATTCTGCTGATGAGGCTGCCAGAGAAACCAATCCAAGGGTGCCGAATGTGTTCAATGAAGAGCCTGAGGAAAGATATGCAGATTTGCCGGTTTATGATCCCGATTGTGATCATGGAGAATTCTTCTTCAAAGTTGGGCTGAAGTTCTTGACTGTTGATCAATTTACAGATGCTATATACAAGCACTCTGTTGCTGTTGGGGCAAATGTCGCTTCTACAAGGAGTGATGGAAGTAGGAAGGAGTTTAAATGCAAGGATGAGGCCTGTGATTGGAGGGTATATGCTGCCTGGTTTGGAGATGGTGCGAGTTTCATGGTTAGGCGGATAGGTACGCCTCACACTTGCTCTCGGTCTCTACGAGTCAACTTAGCGACTGCAAGGTTCCTTGCTCAACATTATTTCGAGCGACTCAGGGTCAATCCAAAGTGGGAGCCTTGCCATATTGCTGAAGAGGTGAAGGCAGAATTGGGGGTCGATGTTGAGGTAAGAACTTGCTACCGAGCTAAGGTAATTGCACGGGAAATGTTACATGGGACCCTTGACGAAGAGTATCACAAGTTGAGAAGCTATCTGGCAGCTTTGAAGAGGGCAGATTCGGAGGGACGATTCATTCTAGACGTTGTTCCAGACGGGACAGCGGATAAGGTGTATTTCAGACGGTTCATGGTGATGTTTTCAGTTCTGAAAAATGGATTCCTCGCTGGATGTCGAAGGATTTTTTCAGTAGATGGTTGTTTTTTGAAGGGCGAGGTCAAAGGAATGTTGTTGACTGCTGTGGGGAAAGATGGGAATAACCACATTCTCCCATTCGCATGGGCTGTGGTAGAGGGTGAGAACAAAGAGTCATGGACGTGGTTTCTCAACATAATCCAAGAAGAGTTAATGTTTGGTGATGGAAGTGGATGGAGCATCGTTTCCGACCAACAAAAGGTAACTTTTAAATCAATTTTGTTGTTCTTTTCAATTCTGAAAATGTTTGCTACTATGAGATTTATATTGGAGTTGATGTCTTCTGAGTGGTTGGTTTACAGGGGCTGGTTGAGGGTATGCATGATGTGATGCCTAATGCAGAGCATAGGAAGTGTTCCCGTCATGTGAATGCGAACTGGAAGGCCAAGAACAAGAATGATCGAATGCGGGACTTATTCTGGAAGGCTGTATATGCTTACAATGAGGCTGATTTTAAAGAAGTTACTTCTGAGATGGAAGCATACGAAAAAGAGGCTGCCACCACTGAAAAACCATACACTGACTTCATGGATCAGGACCCAAACACATTCTGCCGTGCATTTATATCTAGAGTCCCGAAGTCTGATTCTGTTGAAAGTAATAGTTGTGAGAGCTGGAATAATGTAATACTCAAGCACAGGGAGCAGAGAATTATTGTTATGCTAGAGGGCATTCGAGGTTACATGATGGTTCGGATGAGGAAGATGCATCGAAAGTATGAAAGGCTTCGGAACTTGATATGTCCACAGGCAAGAAGCATCATAGCCGAAGAGGATGTCAAGGCAAGAAAGTGCCTTGCTCGTGCTAGCACCAATGACAGAGTTGAAGTCCGTATTGGGGCAGCAGGATTCGTGGTTGATTTGGGCAGCCGTGATTGTACCTGCGGGGCTTGGCAACTATCTGGGATCCCATGCTGCCATTTTCAATCGGCCATGGGCTTAATGAGGCTGAATGTGGAAGATTATGTGCATGAATGCTACCTCGTGACCACAGCTAGAAAGGTTTATGCACATGGAATGCTGTGTATGAGTGGACCACAAACCGATATCCTGTATACCCGCCGATTCAGAAGGCAATGCCGGGGCGTCCTAAGAAGAAAAGAAGAAAGGAGGCGGCTGAACTCGAGGTTCGAGTGCATAAGAATGGTTCTGGACAGTCAATTGGGAGAGAAGGAATGGTGATGCATTGCAGTAAGTGTCGAGGGACTGGACATAATGCTAGGAAGTGTCCCAATCCACCATTTGTTCCAAGTGAACTAGTTATGGAAAACGTCCAAGGTAGGGGAACACGAGGGAGAGGGACACGAGGGAGAGGACGGGGGCAGCAAGGTGGTTCGAATGAAGGAGGGAGAGGGCAGCCAATGGAATCCCAAAACGAAGCAAGCAAACCAAAGGTATGATTTTACATACTACTCCCCATTATAAACACTATACTCTGCTCAACAATATTTCACCATTGTATATTCCACAGAGGGCCATCCATTGTGGAAAGTGTAAACAGCCTGGACATAATGCTAGGAAGTGTCCACTGAACATGGGAATTCAGGTAAGTAGCCGTGTTGTTGCAAAATAATCCCTTTTGCATGAATCTGTCTTCTTGTCTATCTGATTAATTTTGGTTACAAATATATAGCATGCTAGCATTGAGGTTTGGAATGCGAACCAAGTTTCCAGAGACGTCAGAGCTGCCCTAGGTGGCATTGGTATATATACAAACGTGAACACCGGGAACCAGTATGTCCATGTATGTGAGAATGGTGTCAATTGGTCTTGCTTTACCAATGTGTTACTTACACTGTAATAAGTAGTAGTTGTTGTAACTAATTGATATTTTTGGCTGTAACTTTTCAGTTTCCGAGGGCGGAGAATGCTGGAATTCGTAGTTCTGCAGAAGCTGTAGGTACCCAACCAACTGAAATTGATGCGACACAGGGACCAACAACTCAGCCTCAGTAGTAGTGTAGGGAACTTAGTAGTTATAGTTTAGAAGTAGAGCAAATGATGTTGAGCTTGTGGTGAATTGAGCCGAGTTAGTTAGTTTGGCTCACTTCTACCAACTTTTGCATTTTGTACAGCTCACTTATAAGTTTAGAATTGCACTCTTCTGCTTCTTAATGTAAATGTGAAGCAGACTGATGAATGTGAGCTTGTGGTGAATTGAGCCAATGTAGTTTGATTGGCTCTCTTCTACCTACTTTTGCATTTTGTACAGGTTCACAGTTTATGGAAAGGATAGGCACTCTTGGACAGATCATTTTCATACTTAAAACAAGCAGCGCTCTATTGCAAATTGAAGTCCAGAACACATTAATCACTCATTGAAACCACTGAAGTACAACACAAAGCATAACAACTAGAGCAATTATCATCACATTCTTCATCCTGCTTTCAAGAACATCAACCACGTTGCTGATTTTCCTTAACTCGGATGTAGTTCTTGCGTGCTCCTCCTTGGTACTGATCAGTTCTTCTAAAAGCAAATTTTTAGCCTTTTTCCTCCTTTCTGCCTTCATCCGAGCAATCCTACAACACTCCTCCATTTCAATCAGTTTGGTCTTCAGCTCATCCTCGGATTCCTTCCAAATTTTGGGTTCGTACTCATCAACCCACACGAAAAACTTTCACTTTACTTTTGAATCCTACAAAGGAGAGCTCCTCAAACATGTACAATAGATAAATCGAAAGGCCACCAACTAAACACAATGTGTTACCTTCCAGTATCGACAACAGTAAAACTTTCTTCCCGGATTCTTGTCGGTACCCGACACCTGCAAGATACATGGACAATCGTGGCATATAGGTCTCGAATCTCGATTCGTGTTCGCAGAAGAGGATGAACCGTCCTTCGTAGACATGGGGATCTTATGCACCGAAGCTCGCCGGGTTGTGGACAATAAAGCCGCCACGACGCGACCAGATCTGGGATGGCAGCAATCAGGAGCCTCGGGTGGAGTTCTGGGACGAGGGAGAAGAATAAGTGGCGGAGAAAGAAGAGTTTTTGGAGGGGCGAGAGAGTCAGAACGGGGAGAGTTTCCTTCGACGGGGAGCGGCTGGGCGGAGGAGGAGAGATTGCGCGGCGGAGGAGGGGGAAAAATGAATCCCCCGATCAATTCCCCATCTCTTATAAAAAAGATAATAACTCTGAAAATTTTAAAAAATTGGAAAAAAATTATCCGACGTGTACAGTTTCTTTCCACGTCGGAGTCAACTCACGGTTGACCAAACGGAAAGTTAACGATTTGGATAATAATTTGTTTTCAAAAAGGTTTGGCTATTATTTTGTTAAAAATGAAAGGTTTGGCTATTAAATTGTATTTACCCAAAAAAAAACTAATTATGGCTCGTTCATTCTCTTTCCCTTCACCCTATTGAACTCATCGGTAAAATAGTTTTCCTAATATTGTATGTGCGAAAGAATTAATATCATTATTAACTAATTAATTGATTAATGAATATATTTTTACCAAGTCACTAGCATTCATTATTCGATTGGAGTTCATATATTCTTAGTTTTAAATCATAATTAGCAAACAATGTTGAAATTAACCGGACCGGAGTACTACTTTGAGTTAAACTACCTAGACACAACATGAAAAACAAGAGTCAAGCCCCATGAGCTCTATCATTTCCTCGTGAATTATTTGAGTTATGCATTAAATAACAATTAAAATGATGATCTTGGAACATT